TGATTTGTAGTGATTCGATTTTCCTTATTCCTTTCTTAAGGTGGTCATTCGGAGATTACCTCCCACTCTGACCAAGGAGCAACTCCTGGAACATCTTCAGCCTTTGCCGGAGCATGATTATTTTGAGTTTTTTTCTAATGATACTAGGTAAAAGAAAAGGGGTGTGTGTGGGGGGTGGTAAATGAAAAAGATTTCTTCTGTTCTTGCATCCTACTAATATTTTCCATTTGATTTGTGGGTGTATTTAATGGCTGCGTACTTGTAATTCAGCCAGACTCCTGCAAGCATATTTACATAATTGCTTTTCTCTCTGCAGTCTGTATCCTCATATGTATGCCAGAGCATACATCAACTTTAAAAACCAAGAGGACATTATTTTGTTCAGGGATCGCTTTGATGGTTATGTATTCCTTGACAATAAAGGTGAGTCCTTGTAATGAAACTAGAAGGGGAGTTTCTTTGTCATTTGTACGTTTAAGACAATGTGTGTATCACAGTCAATGCCTTCATAGCTTTTCTAAAATCCTAGGTGGTAAAATGTGCAACATTTAAAGAGTTTTTACACGTGTGATAGGCTTGTAGTATTATAAATAGACGTGTAACTTGTCACAGCCCTCTAGTACTTATTAACCAGTTCTTTCTGTGGTTTGATCAACTGGATGAAATTGCCACCATTTTGTCGTGTGACAAATTTTTTGCCCTGGTTTAGATATGTTGTTTTGATTATTAATTTTAGCAGCAATGCTGATAAATGATTCTTTAAACTTATAAGGCAAGTTTTAAATATTTACTTCTCGTTTTGCTTCAAGGACCAACATTTATTTATTTAATTCAAATACTTTAAGCCAATAGTTCCCAGTGGAATCCTGGTTAACATTCTCACTCGGTTGTATGCAATTAAAACAAAGAACTTGGAGATCTCCCCCTTTGCATCCAGGGGGATCCAGTGTAGAAAGAAGAACAATTTCTGCCTTAACGTTCTTTTCCTTTATCACCTGCTACTTACACAAGATTTAGTCAGAGAATGCCCTAGCTGCCACTGGCCACTTTTGGCTGTGCAATCACAGGTGAATGGTGTGTTATTCTCCTTTGTTTTTTAAGCATTTCTTCAAAGTTGATAAAAATTAAATCTTTGCCAGGAAATATACCAGTTAACAGTCAAAGGATTGCCACTGCATATTGGCCAACTTTTATTAATCTTTCCCCCAAAACCAACTACTTCTCCACTCCAAACTTATATTCTGGTAGATAGAAATGATTTCCTAATTGCTTAGCCTGGAAATCTGAGTTGAGTTTAACCTTTTTCTCCTTTTTTTTCATCCCCTACATTTAAACAAATGGTGAATCTTGTCAGCTGCTTCTTTTTTTTTTTTTTTAAGAGCTTGTTTTACATTCAACGTTATGTGTACATTTAGTTCCATTCCCCATTTACCATGTCCAACCCTAGCCCAGTCTCCTCCCCTCCCTACCCTGTAAACCTCCCCTGTGCCCCTCATATTTATGCACTCCTGTTTGTCCTACGTTTCCTCAATTTGGATGTTGGTCCTCTGGTGTCCCGTGGTCTATTGCTCTAATGGATGTATTACCATAGAGTATGTGAATGCGTCATCCTGGGTTGAGTGGTCTACGTGTACATCTTGTTAACTATTGGACTGAGAGTCAGCCCCTGGGGGTGCGTTTTATTCCAGGTGCAAAATGTATTCCAGGGCCATAGTATTGGGGGTCCCAGCAGATTTCATCTGACCAGTAATTCTGGACATTATTGAAGTTTTGGATTTTGTTCCACGTTTTCCCTCCCACTCTATTCAGGATCTCCGGATTTTATCCTTTCCTGAGTGGTTGGCATTGGTAGCTGAGCACCATCTAGTTCTGGTCTCGAGGGCCATCATGTCCTATGGCTGATTGCTTCCAAATGCCCTTTTTTTTTTTTTTGCATTCTTCTTCACTTCTGCTTTTGCCACTAGGAAACCGTTAGCTGCATCTTAGGTGGCCACTTGAAAGCTTTTAAGACCCCAGTCACTACTTACCAATGTAGGATGTGAAACAAGGCTTTTATGTATTTTGTTGTGCCAATTGAGTCTGTTGTCCCCCAGTACTATGGCTCTGAGATGGTAGATCTATTGGATTGCATCTTATTCTTTTTAAATGTCTTGTTCATCTAGACTTCCTAACACTTTCACAGTTTATGTCCTCATCACCTAATGCTTAGATGATCACTACCTCTAAACTTACAGGAATTTCCATTTTTGTGTAATTTATTCCATTATATTGCCATTAAATTAATCTTTTAAAAGTACTAATTTTAAGATAACAGTAATAAGAAAAGTCCAAACTCCTTAGCCTGATATTTAAGATCCTCCATAGTCTATCCCTATGTCTGTTTTCTCTGCCTATCTTTCACAACTTCTCTCTGCTTTGGCCTGGTTTATCTATTCCTTCTCTTCAAGTATATCACAGTTATTAAGTTAATCTGATTCAACATTCGTTAGGATTTCCAAAATCATGTTTTCATCAAATTCATGTTTTCTCTATGACTGCTTTGTGACGCTTTCTGGCCATTTCTAGTTAAATGATTCTGGCTTATGTCTAGATGCCAATGATCTAAAGATAGTATTTTATGCCTGGTATGACATTTTTCTATGGCAGGGATCTGGTGCATTTTTTTAAATAACAGTTTTATTGAGATATAATTTACATACCATAAAATTCACCCTTTAAAGTATGCAGTTCAATGGCTTTTAGTGTATACACTCCAACCTAATTTTAGAACATGTTCATCACCCCAAAAAGAAACCCCATACCCATTAGCTGTCACTCCTCAGTCTCACTACCACCACTACCACCACTCTGGCTCTAGGCAACCAGTAATCTACTTTCTGTCTCATTGGATTTGCCTATCCTGAACATTTCTGATGTATTTTTAAACTGAAAATTACTTTACAATTTATTTCACATATCAAAGTATCACCTTTTAAGAGTTGAATAAATAAATGTTTCCCTTGCTTTATGATTTCATTATGTTTATCAGTGTAGATTTTGGGCTGCTTTGACAGCATGTTGAATATAGTTTTGCCAGTGTTGTATATGCCCATTGGGAGACCCTCTTCAGATAACTGCCTTCAAAGGAGACCCAGAGACTGGTCAGTTGACCCTTCTGTATCTACTTTTGACATTTCATTTGTTATAGTAAGGTTTATGGGTTTTTCTTTCCCTAAACAGGTCAAGAATATCCTGCAATAGTAGAATTTGCACCTTTTCAAAAAGCTGCAAAAAAGAAGACTAAGAAAAGAGATACCAAAGTTGGGACTATTGATGATGGTACCGTATTGCTATAGTTATGTAATGATATTGCTATGGGTTTTTATGTGATTTGAGTGAAAGTTTACAGAGCAAATTCATTTTCCGTACAACAGTTCATACATGACATTGACTGCCATCCCCACTATGTAACAGCTCTCTACCCACTTCTTCCCTGTAGTTACCTCTTCCCTTTGTCCTTCTGTCCTTTGCATTCCTGGCCCCTGAGCTATCTTCCTATACAAATATTGCCCTTCTGATCTCCCATGATTGATTGTTCTAAGGATTATATCTACCTAGTATAAATGTTCACCCTATATGCCTGTGTATTGTTTGGCTGGAAGCCACAGCAAAACAAACTCATTGCTGTCGAGTCAGATCTGACTCATAGCGACCCCTTCTTGGGTTTCCAAGGCAGTATCACTACAGAAGTAGATTACCCAACCTTCCTTCTGAGGAGTGGCTGGTGGGTTTGATTAGCAGTCAAATGCCTTAGCCACTACGCCACCAGAACTCCTGGGAGCCATAGGAGTGAATTCAATTCCAGGCCTAAAATGTCTGCCTTGAGCATTATGCTCTTTTAAGAACTATCTATATGGAATCAAAGTGACAGCAGCAACTCAAAAGATTAGATAGGAAGCTTAGAGGGCACTGAGTTTATGTTAATGGAGAAGGAACAACTCAGAAAGGAGGGTGAGGATGGTTGCATAACTTGAAGACTGTAATCAGTTTCACTGAATTGTACATACAGAAATGGTTGAATTGGTGTATGTTCTGCTATGTATATTCTCAACTACAACAACAAAATTTAAAAGAAGGAAGAAAATCAGATAGCCCTTTGCTTTCCCGAGACATTGAGAAAATGTATTAAATGAAAAACTTATACTGGATGTACACTTTTATTTTACAAAACAAATTCAAAACTCTGATTTTGAAGTCTACCAACTGAAAAATCTTTTATTTGGGAAAAAATTGTGGAAAGTATTTAGTTTTCTATTTTCTCACTCTTATAAAACTTCACACAAGAGAAAAATATTACAGTTTCTGTGCAAATAGAAAGAAAACCTCTTCTTGTTGCTGATGGCAACCAGTAAATGAACAAAACCAAAGAAGGTATATAATATTCATTAGATGACAAATAGAACATATACTATGAAGAAGGGAACAAAGTTTATAAATTCCTGAGAAAAGACTGGGAGTACATGGAGTTTGTCTTATATTTAGAAATTTTTCATATCTTTGATATATACATCCCATGCTGTTTCTGGACATCTTTAAATTTTAGGTGATTAAATGTACTGTTACCCTCGATTGTAACAATAAAAATAGAGTATTTTTTAAAAAATTGTTAAGGATAAGGGACATGTGCTTGAAAGACTTGCTCTTGAAAGTTGACATCAAGAGGACAATAGTTTCTCATAGTTTATTGTTGTCCTTGTCTTAAAATATTCCTATCTGGAATTGCCCAAAGAACTGACCTACAGGGTTTGTGTGGATATGGTTTGGTTTATTTTCAATTTTCCATGAAATAGAATATCACCTTTAGTAAATTAAATATCCTGGATCGTATTTCCTATTTTGTTTAAAGTCTGCTATATTTTCTGTTTCTTTAATTGATCATTTAGATCCAGAGTATAGAAAATTTTTGGAAAGTTATGCAACAGATAATGAGAAAATGACATCTACTCCAGAGACACTGCTAGAGGAAATAGAAGCAAAAAATAGAGAATTAATTGGTAAGTGAGGAAAAAGAATTAAGGAGAATGGCTTTTTCATCAGAATACCTAGATCTGATTCCCACTTTCATCACTTGCTAGCTGTATGACCTTGGGGAAATCACTAACTTCTCAGAGATTCTGTTTTTCCTGATGTAAAATTCAGATGATATTACCTACCTCACAGGATTATGAGGTGAATTGATGAGATGAGAAAAAAATTCTCTGTGAACTATTTGGTGGCACACAAATGTAACATAAGTAAAAACTTTGAAGACTGCTATGGGACCTTTATATATTGATAAGCCTTTGTAGATAGATGGCTTTGTTCTAGTAGTAAGTTAATATTCCTACAAATATTTTGACCTAAAATAGCAAAAAATAAAAATATTTTCTCCAGAATTGAAATCTTGAGAAATTCTAGTTTGAATGTTGTTTCTAGTACTAATAATTTGTCACTACTGTATCAGTACCAGCTCTAAATATGAGCATAGTCTTTGGCCTGGGATTTCTACTTTTAGGAATTTATCCTAAGGAAGTATGTGTTCAAAAATCTAGATACAAGGCTAGGTAGCATTATTCAGAATATTGAAAAGTACACTTAAATAATCATTGTTAATGGCTGTTGTATAAGCCCATCTCTGATAAATTCCTAGAAGTGGAATTATGGGGTCAAGAGGATTAACTGTTTTAGCCCCCTCCTCCTAATTTATCCCCAGAGAAAGTTGAACTAATTTATACTCCCATCAGTAAAACAAAAGATGCCCTTGCACTTAATTCTCACTGACACTGTCACTGGTATGAATTACTCTTAAAAATTGTTTTATTGTCTTAATTTTAATTTCTTCAGTTCTTTAAAAGTATTTTTAGCCTGCAGCGTTGAAATGAAAATACTGTAGAACCTCCACTAATACAGTTGTGAACTTTCTGTTTAAGGGGTGTAGTTTTCCCACCTTGGGTGGGTGGCAGGGAATGTCAGAAAATGGAATCCTTTCTAGGGGTTGATAAGTATTATTAATAATCTGTTTACATTTATGTAGCTAAAAAGACAACCCCACTTTTGAGCTTCCTGAAAAACAAGCAGGTAAACTTTTTGATTTTATAGTTCTCTCAATACATTTTGTTTCATTAGTTCACATTCTGTAAACGTTTTCAGAGCATTGGGGGCCTGTAGGAAAAATAACTGCTTTTCCACCATCATTCCTTAAAGATTTGGCTCATTAGTCTTACTCTCTGGCACTCTGCTTCACTCTGGTTATTGAGCCAGGGATTTACTCTGCAAACTTAGAGAGGCCTTAGCTTATCCCAGAGACATACTCTTGATATTCTGAAAGCCTCTGGTAATATAGCAAGGCAGCATGGGAGACTCCGATACCAGCAGGCCCTGGTCTTCATTCTCTTTCGTGTTCTGAATAGTGTGGGGTCGGGTTAAAATGGTAGAAAGTAGGAAGGAAAGATGATCTAGCTTAGTGGGTACCCACCATGCCTTTGGGATTAGTTAAGTTTTTGGTGATGAATGTTTTATTTGAAGACTGTATTGATGTTTCTTTCTAGAGAATGAGAGAAGAAAAGAGAGAAGAAAGGAGGAGGCGAGAAATAGAAAGAAAAAGACAAAGAGAAGAAGAGAGGAGGAAATGGAAAGAAGAAGAGAAACGAAAAAGGAAAGATATAGAAAAACTAAAGAAGATAGACAGAGTTCCAGAAAGGGACAAATTAAAGGATGAACCAAAGATTAAGGTATGAAAATAAATTAAGCAGACTGCATGTTTCTGAAAATTGCATGTATCTACTTCTTTAAATATGCATGCATCTTGTGTTGTTGTAGAGTTTTTTTGTTTCTATGTTTTTGAGGGGGGAGGGAAGTGAACCAATAAAAAAAAACTTTTCCAACAATACTAAGTAGTATTTTTTAAATTTAAGATCATTTAAAAGGATTAAGTAGTTAACATGATTTTGATCAGTTCTTCAGTGCAGATCTGTGTTATTTTATCATGGAAAATGTTCAATTTTTGGATTACTGTTCTCTCAATTCATAGTAAATAAGGGCTTAGGGCTGGCTGGCATTAATTATGGGTTTTATTCAGCTTTTCCTTCATATTTGATACATGAAGTTGCCTCATCTGTTTGTTTTCCACTGTCTTCAGGTACACAGGTTTCTGTTACAAGCTGTGAATCAGAAAAATGTAAGGACCGAGTACATGATACTGAGCACCTAGTATCATGTCACACACACAGGTCTTAGTTAATAAGTCCTTTTGGTGGTGGTGGTAGTGTTACCTGTAGAAAATCCCCTTCAAACTGACTTGGGTCTTCTAAAAAGCTGAGCTATTTACACACCTGCTTCAAAAGGAAGCCTAGGTGACTTCCTCATGCTCTGTTGTGTACCCAGAAGCTTCAATGATATACTGCCAGAGGACAACTGTGCTTAAATAGCTCTTTCTCATCTTCTTACATGCCTCTCATAACTGACTGCCTGATGGGAATACTACAGATAAATATCCTGCATTACATGCGTGTCTTCCCCTCTCACATGATTCCCATGTTATCTTTCATCTAGCTGGGAATCTGTGAGCAGCAGATTCTGATTTATGTATTGCATTTAGGAGATGAAAACTTGTAGAAAGGTCCCAACCTCTCTGTTTCCCTGCTGGGAGCATGGCTTGGACAACTGTTGCTCCAGCAAACTTCCTGGGGGAATTGATTCCCTAGTCCTTTGAGAAAGGTCAGAGAAAATCTCTCAGTGGTGGTGGCAGGATCTCCCTGTTTTACCTCCTGAAAATTCAGCAGTTCTGTGACTAGGGTTTCCTGAGTCTCTATGGGGTTCATTATTGGTAAGAAGGGGCTTGAGGGGGGGGAGTAGTTCCCATCTTAATTCCTTCCAGCAGTCTTTGTCTGCCATGCCACTAGTGACTTGACTTGCTATCCCTAATTATTACCAAGGCAGAAGGTAGAGCCAGCCATGCTAGAGAAATTCATTAGTGTTCTTATTAGAGAAATGAACATCTTGCTTTCTGACAAAGATGTTCATTAGAGAAATAAGAACACTTCCAATGAAACCTGCACATGGTATCCTCACTTTGATACACTGATGCTTTCTTAGTGTTCAGTTGGGACTCACCATTTGCAATGGCTGTCTGTGTGCTTAACGCTTGCCTTATATGGTGCTTTGCTTTTTGCTTGGTGACTTGTGTATTGCCTTCACTCTGAGATTTGAAATTCTTCTGTTTTGCCTAAAATCTCTCTGAATATCCAACACTTGGGGGTATTTTAGAGAGATTTTTAGCAATTGTCAGAGAAAGGAGCTGTCTTGTTAGCATTTTGGACTTTATAAACCACTTATGTGTATGTATGTGTGTGTGATATATATGTATATGTATATGTATATATATATATATATATATATATATATATACACTGAGCAAAGAGTTCCTACTCAGTAAATATGGAACTTCACCATTCTGTTGTATAAGGCATTTGGATTTTAAAGTCAAATGCCAAATAATTCTTGCTGTTCACCTCTGATGGTAATGATTGTTCAATCATATAAGCAAAGTATAATATTCTCAGGCTCAAGGCAAAAATATTTCTGCAATGGATCTCTCCTTTAGTGACCAAGGTATTTGTCACTCCAAGTACTAAATAAAAACGGTCCAACATGAATTACCTGCCTAGCATTTAAAATTTGTGGTATATTTTCACATTGTTTCATCACCATGCTGATTTGCTGCAGAATATATACTTGGAAGGGTGCATTGGTTCACTTAAAGGTTGACCTACTTAAACCCTAAGGCATCTCGATCCTATTGCTACAGTGATTAAGCCACTCCATTTGCGTGGATAACACTTTCATATTAATATGTAACATCTTTTTAATACATTACTACTCTTATGCACTAATTGTTCACCTGAAAGTTTAAAAGCACTTGCAGATACAGGGAGCCTTCTATAGTCAAAATTTTAAATATTTACTATATTGTTTTCTTTGATTGAAAAAGTAGCAGTGCCCTACCCTTCAAAGTAAAAATTACTTAATCTCTTTAAAGCTACTCAAGAAGCCAGAAAAAGGAGATGAAAAAGAATTGGACAAAAGAGAAAAGCCCAAGAAATTAGACAAAGAGAATCTGAATGATGAAAGAGCAAGTGGGCAAAGTTGTACATTGACCAAACGTTCTGACATTGAACTTAAAGATGAAAAGCCAAAGAGGTTAGTAGTAGAGAGCTCTTTAGTACGTTTGAATTAGAAGTGTTTCAAGATGCTGGTTTTGCTGCTGTGTCCTAGACCTGTACCTGAACTAAGATAAACTATTTTATCAGGTTGCAATGAGTCAATTGACTTGATGGCAATGCTTTTTTTTGTTGTTGTTATTGTTGTTGTTTGTTTTTATTTTATTAGGAGCAGGTGGTTGTGAGGAGGAAAGGAAGGTGTCAAATATTCTAGTATCTTAATCTGGGTGAATGATACTAATTTTTTGTTGTTTTTTAAAAACATCAGTAGTTTTTATTCCCTGTGAAAGTACAACCCCATTGCCGTGGCCAAGTTGGGACCACAGTGTTCCTGCATTTGTAGATCCTTGAGGGTTCATTCTCACTTTTGTTTTTCATGCAGACTTGAAGATGAAAGTGGCAGAGACTACAGGGAGAGGGAAAGGGATTATGACCGAGATCAAGAACGCATACTTCGGGAGAGAGAGAGACTGAAGCGGCAAGAAGAAGAACGCCGCAGGCAGAAGGAGCGCTATGAGAAAGAGAAGGCTTTTAAAAGAAAGGAGGAAGAAATGAAAAAAGAGAAAGAAGCACTTAGGGATAAAGGAAAGAAGAATGAAAGTACAGAATCAATAGGCAACTCAGAAAAAACTGAAAAAAAAGATGAAGTAGTTAAGAGAGATCGCATAAGAAACAAGGTGTGCTGCTTTTCGTTAAACTTGTTTATTTTCATTAAGACTCTTCTCTTTTCCTGCAGATGTAAAGGAAAGAGCTAGCTTGTTTATTGTAGAATTTTAGAATAGAAACTTTTAACTGTCTGAAACCCTTTTTTGTCTTTTCAGTCTTGATCGAGTTCTTTTTTTTTTTTTTAATTTGGAAATTTCAAATAGACAAAAGTAGGGAGTATAGAGAATATTATGATGAACCCCCACATACCCATCATTAAGCTTCAACAATTGTC